GCATGTGTACTCGCGATTAGGGATGGGTATCGTTTGAAATGTATCGATTCCGATTCCGCTTATCGATTCTGGTTCTTATCGATTCCCCGTTTCGATTCCAAAATTGTAAATGAAAGAGGTCAAACGTTTAGATAACAAAAATATCTTTATTTTTTTAAGCTTTAACTGACATTTCTACAAATAAAAATATACATACAATACAAATGTATTGCACAATAGCGCTTTAAGCTAGTGCTTTATTTTGACTGAGCTATGCCTGTGGCAAGCTATTAACAGGCATTACACTGTGCCTTGTCTTTTTATTTTTTAGTGTAGTGGAGCCTCACTTCAGAGCGTTTACCACGACCCATCTTTGGTGTTATGAAGTGACTGAGCTCGTGAACTGTCTACGGGAGGGCGGGGGGAGCCTCGTTGCGGGGAAACTGTGGACCTCTGTCGCCGCAACTTACATGATGCCGTTTAAAAAAATGAAGGGCGGTGCCGGCCGTCAGCGTACCGAGCCGGCCGTCAACGGCCCGCTGACGACCGGCCGTTCTGTGATTCTCCAGAACACACAGATGGCCAGTCCTCCCTTACCCTGGCTGTATTCCACCGGGTCACCGCGGCGCAGGCGGACCCGCGGCGCAGACAGACCCGCTGGAATACAAGGTCTACCGCGTTTAGGAACCGTTAAGCAGAACCGAAATTGTGTATTTTGTACGGGTACCCGGCATTTTCTTATCGGTTCTCATCTGGAACCGAGTTTCGGTTCCCAACCCTACGATTGAGAAACGGCCAGTGTAAGGCAGAGTCCTGCACGGGTCTGATTTTCAAGACCCGCTCCCGGCCCGCACCCGCGACGTGCAAGACCGAACCCGCCCCGCTACCCGCACATATTGCCAATTAGTTCCGCAACCCGACCCGACCCGTCGGCACAAGATCCGCAACCCAACCCGAACCCGCATATATATGAGCACTGAAAACGTGCAATGATTAACACACGCAGTTGCATATTTGTCTCAAAAAGCGTGGGATGTTGGTTATTTCCTCCATCTAGGTTGACACCAAAAGCCTCCAGACGTTGGATTTCGCTCTTGAGGAAGTGTTATTGAAAATGCTGTATTCTCCGCTAGAGAGCTCCACCTCAGCCATTTCGAATGTGGCGCGCACAGCAGCAGATTGATGCGCTGCAGAGGTTATGATTAACCTCATTAATATTAATATTAATATTAACCTCTCCCACAGGGAGAGGTCTGAGGATTTTAAACATTAAACTAATTTATTATTATTTTAATATATTTATTATGCAATACCCGCAACCCGACCCGCATCATCTTTGTTTTACCCAGAACCGAACCCGGAAAAAAAGCGTTTGAAAAAATACCACCCGCGAATCACCTTTTTTGCGGGTCACCCGATGCAGGACTCTGGTGTAAGGCAGCCAGAACAGGAGTAATGTGATCCCTTTTCCTAACTCTGGTTAGTACATGTGCTGCAGCATTTTTAATCAGCTGAAGCGACTTAACTGACTTCTTGGTACACCCTGATAATAAGGAGTTACAATAATCCAGCCTTGAAGTAACAAATGCATGGACTAGTTTCTCTGCATCGTTTTGAGGCAAGATATGCCTGATTTTTGCTGTTACATAGATGAAAAAAGGCGGTCCTTGAGATTGATTTTATGTGGGCGTTAAAGGATAAATCCTGATCAAATATAACACCAAGATTCCTTACAGTCTCACTGGAGGCCAAATGAATGCCATCCATAGTTAATATATCTTTAGATAGTTTGTTTCGTAGAGTCTGTGGGCCGAGTACAATAACTTCAGTTTTGGCCGTGTTTAACATAAAAAAATGTAAGGTCTTCCACGTTTTTAAGTCCTTGAGGCAGTCTTGAATTTTATTTAGATGATTAATTTTATCAGGCTTGATTGATAAATATAGTTGAGTATCATCTGCATAACAATGAAAATGTACAGAGTGATTCCTTATAATATTGCCTAACAGAAGCAAATATCATGTGAACAAAATAGGTCCGAGCACTGAGCCCTGTTGCACTCCATGGCTAACTTTGGTTTGCATGGAAGATTCATCATTGACACACACAAACTGAGAGCGTTCAGATAGATAGGACCTAAACCAGCTTAAAGCAGTTCCCTTTATGCCAACTAAGTGCTCTAGTCTTTGCAATAAGATATCATGGTCGATAGTATCAAATGCAGCACTGAGATCGAGCAAGACAAGAATAGAGACAAGTCCCTTGTCTGAGGCTATTAGAATGTCATTTGTGACTTTAACCAGAGCTGTCTCTGTGCTATGATGTGTTCTAAAGCCAGACTGAAAATCTTCAAATAAATCATTATTTTTTAAGTAATCACACAACTGTTTTGCGACCGCTTTCTCAAGAATGTTTGAGAGGAACGGAAGATTAGAAATAGGTCGGTTGGCTAAAACGTCTGGATCGAGGTTGTGCTTTCTAAGAAGAGGTTTTATCACTGTTACTTTGAATGATTGTAGAACATAGCCTGATAATAAAGACATATTCATAATATTTAATAAATAAGTGCTAATTAATGGAAAAACTTCCTTTAACAGCTTAGTTGAAATCGGATCTAAGATACACGTTGATGGTTTAGAAGAAAGAATCATTTAATTCAATTGTTCAAGGTGTATTACATTACATTGCATTTAGCTGACGCTTTTATCCAAAGCGACTTAAAATAAGTGCATTCGACCAACAAGATACAAACTTGAAGAAAACAGAATCATATAAGTACATCAGGTTTCATAGAGCTAAAACATTTCAAGTGCTACTCAACTGGCTTTAGATAAGCCAGTCCTTTATTAGTATATAAGTGCTTTGTTAGCAATTCTTTGTTTATGGCTGAAAAGCATTCTCGTTTACTATCTAGTATAACTTACATTTCCGGGAGCTGTTGATATCACTATACTGGTCAAAGGCAAGAGGTCATTAATTGTGTTTCTAAGAGTAACAATTTTATCATTAAAAAAGCACATAAAATCATTACTACTGAGTGCTATGGGAATACATTACATTACATGTTACTTGTTAGACCAGGGGTCGGCAACCCCTGGCACACGTGCCAGAATTGGCACGCGGCACCGTAACCAGTGGCACATTAGGAATAAGTGGAATAAGTGTGCAAAATATTTAAATTTTATTTTCGGATCCTGAACGAGACCGCCGCCAGAGCGCGTCTCCCCGTTACCTGCAGAAGGAAGCCATGCACGCAACGCAGCCCCGCTCTCTTTAACTCCAGGTGACTTTCTGCCGATTTCCTCCGTGGTGCTGATCGTTTCACCACAGAGGAAAGCATTTCACAAATTGCAGTACCCATAAGGAGCTGTACAAATGCCGCAGTTTTTGCGTGGCTGTGTATTTAGTTGAAAGCCCAGTGGTGATCTGCTCATCTCTCATCAAAATAATATGCTACAAAGGGGCGGACTGGCCATCTGTGTGTTGAACTTTCCTGTCGGCTCCCAGACCGTAGTCGAGGAGGGCAGAAGCAACAAGCTTCAGGTTCAATAACCCACTTTAGCTTAAATGACTGGAGAGAGGCGAGCTCTTCTTGGGAGGGCATTGCATTTATTTAGCTGTTGTTCTGTTTCACAAAATACATCACAGACCTCTGTTTTTCTGCTTCCTCGTTTCACTTCCAGAAACATACACACGTTCCCTCACTGTCGCTCTACCATCCACAAACACACATGCACAAGCCACACCCCTCTCTCTCTTAAAGGGACAGCGATCTCATCTCACTCTGCATGACCCTAATATCATAACATGTGTGTTCTGGAGAATCACAGAACGGACGATCGTCCTTATTATTATGCCGTTTAAACCAATTATTTAAATGTGTTTGTTAAATTCGGCATCATGTAATGCCCCGGCCACACGAGGACGAAAACGGTCGTTTGCGTTACTGTTTAGTGTCATATAGACCGTTCGGCCACACGAGGACGACCGAATACGGCACTAAACGACTGCGTAAACGATAACGGGTCCCAAGGTGGATAGAACGGCATACACAACGCTCTGGGGGGTCCAACGGCTCCGTGTGTACGCCCTATACGATAATTTTCTGATAATGATGAGGCAATAGCCCCGCCTCTCCCCACCTCTGCTGCTCACCCCCGCGTCAAAGTAAACTGCACACTGAATTCAGATTATTTATCTTTCTCTCGATATGGACCTAAACGCGAGTGAAGTCTAATCTGACAGGACGGAGACACGCAGCTCTGCTCACCTGCAGCTCCTCCCGCTGTGATGCGGCGGTGAACGGAGTAAAACACACACTTCAAGTCCGATCATCACCCTTAGCTATTTTAATTACCTCTCAAACTACCTAAACTAGATATAAATATGTTTATTTTTACTGTCGGCCGGGTCACTCATTACTGGATCAGCTGCTGCATGAAACAGACACTGGCGCTGTCCAAAGAGAGGCAGGAAAAAGAGAGGCTCCGTGTATTTTATTATTATAATGTATAGATTCGTTATTCATTTGTTTTAAAGCTCAATAAATAACAAAGAAGACCTTTGACCGGCACTTTTATAATTTTGTCGGAAGATTTAAACTTTAATACACGTTGACTGGCGAAAAACTCTGCCCGGTTCCCTCGGCCCCCACCGCGGAGAATAAACAGAAGGGCAACCATGACAACCCTGCTTCTTCGCTGCTTTTGTGGAGGAAGTTACAGCGCCACGTACAGGCTCCTGCATATGTACTGCAGCTTCTCCAGCGGTTGGAGCTAAACGGAGCTGTCTCGTGTGGACAGACACTATCCGGATGACTATTGCGTGTGGACGGAAGCTTTTTTGCGATTGCGTTTGCGTTACTCCTATGCGTTTAGCCGTTTTCGTCCTCGTGTGGCCGGGGCATAAGTTGCGCTGACAGGTCCACACACTGCTTCCCTGCAGCGAGGCTCCCCCGCCCTCCTGCTGATAGTTGACAAGTGTCAAGCTCCTCAACCCCCCCCCCCCCATGATAATTCTCGATCGTTGGCACGCTGATACATTTTTTTTTTTTTAAATGGCACTTCATATCAAAAAGGTTGCCGACCCCTGATCTGTAGGCACCGCAGACAGTAATTCTTGCTTAACTTGGGAGTGCAGTCCAGTGGCAAGTTCTTCCAAATCACTAACAATTGTTGAAACAAAACTACTTGCCATAGTACTTCCTTGGAGTTTAGCAACAATTGAAGCACACATATTTTTGGTAGAGATTTGATCCATTGTCCTCAAAACACCCAGCATTTAGGCCATGTGTGACATTTGTTTGAGCAACATGTGAAGTACCTTGGAGACTGTGACACATAGGTAGAAATGACTGAGAGTTTGCTGCATCACCACTTTGACATAGATCCCTCTCATGAACAGTATTTAAATGTTTTTTGAAACCTGAATATGATAAAAACTGACGCCTACAACAATCTTGTGGACAAACTAACTTAAACCTGCTGCTAGGATATAAACTGTGATCCATTCTTAAATGGCTTACCAAGGACTGGCATGTCTTGTGTACAGCTTGACATATGAAACACTTGTACATGTTTTGATTCTAGTTTAAGAGTTTTGCCCACAACTCACGGATTCTGGGAGACTCATCTGTTGTGTTGATGTCGATGTTGTATACTGTTGTCTGGATAAATGTGTACAGCTGGACCAACGACTCCTCGTAGGACAGGTTGAACACATAGTGAGATTTGAACAGTTCGTCAAAAGCACCCAATGAGCTGGTGGCTTGGCATGGTATGAGCTGTTTGTCGATTACAATGTAGAAGGTGTCAATCCGGTTCCGGGTTCGGCCAGGAGCAAGGATGTACGGTTGTTGACCCTTTCTTCCCCGCAGGTGCTCATCGATGCTGCAGCACGACTGAAAAACAACATGAACACCGTAAAGTAAAAGTTTGGATAGTTATCCAGCAACGTTAAAATGTTCAGTTTAGATTTCGCCTCCCTTTTCTTGCTGGGGGAAGAAAATATGAGACATGCATACCTTGTGGAAGTGGACCATTTTGTCCACTGCATCACTGGGACTGATCTTGGTCCTCTTCCGTCCAGCAGTGGGTGGCAAGAGATAGAGGAGCAGCAGCAGACAAGCCATGTCACTGTCCCAGCCTATCAGGAGGAGAAATCAGACAGCAACAAAATGTCAGTGTCTACCTCAAAATGCACAAAGTAAAGAGCACTAGCTATTTGGAATATAACCAAAACTGCATGTAGCTTACTGGTGTCATCGTTCTCTGCAAGTGTCTCAGCAGCGTACAGAAGTCGACACAGCTCTGTTGACTGAGTCAGGTGTTTGGCTTCTTTGATAATCTTGATCTTGAAAGTAGTGTCCCACTTCTCAAACATCTTGCAGGCTGTTTCAGTACCAAACAGCAGCAGGAAGTCTTGAGTTAGCTGTTGATTATTGTTAGTGTATTCTAGAACCCCGAAGGCAGGAGAGACTGAAAAGAGTCAAGGGAAGCTTATAAAAGTTAACAGCATTTAATTACACAAAAGATGCGGTGGTGTACAAAATGAAATGTGCGAGTGGAGGCGCTCTCCTCATCCGACCGGTCAGTCCAGGTCAGCAGGTGGAAGAAGTCAATTCTTGGCTTGCTCTTCCTGTTGTCATCGGAGGTCTTCTCCTATTGGCCGGCGTCGTCGGGGGCGGGTCCAATGCAATTCCTGCCTTTTTCTGTTGTTAAATTATATCATTCTGGTGTCTGTGGTTATTTAAACATTCCCTAATAAACGTTATTCAGCGGTAATAAATGAGTGCTAAACCCAGTGTGCTCAGTGTACAACATCACATGTAATTTCACCTTTAATTCACGGTTTGAAAATGCAGCATTTCGCCACATGCTAATGCTAACCGGAAGTGAATAATTTTCAGAATAAAAGTATTAAGTTAATAGTTAGTGAACTTCCGGTTTTTCAGAATAAAACTGATTTAAATTAAATAGTGTATTTAATTCAAATTACGCCATACCAACATTGATTTTAATTTCTAACATTATACACATTTCATTGCTTACACCCAACCAAATGAAAGATTAGAGTTTAAAGACTGGACTTTAAATTAGTAAAATGTAAAACTCACCAGTCCTTTGACATCAAAAAAAGGTGGAAATGTTTTAAAGACATCTGCAGTTCGCTGTGGGTCACGCACTAAGTCCTGGCGATGTTGTAAGGTTATCTTCATCTTCATCAAGCTGATGAGGCACTGTGGGTGCTGATCTTGGGCGGTTCGGTCCTTGTGCTTGAGGCACTGTGGCTGGCACAGCCTGTTGACTGCGTGTTGTCCGATTCTTTCTGGACATGGTCCTGAGGCGCCATGATAAATATCCTGTGTTTTTTTTCCCCATCGTAGAAGTGCTCCTGTTAAGACATTTTCAAAAATATTAGAAAGGTCTATCACTCATTTATCTTTAAGTTTTTCTGCAACATCATTACTAACTTCAAATGTTGTAACATAGTATGGCGTGCATTTTTTATATCAGTATTAAAGAAACCAAATATGACACCAGATTTTAAGAAGTAACGTTTAATAAGTAACTCAATCATATAAACTTAAGTCCAAAGCTGCGTGTAAAAAAAAAAAAAGGTTTAAACTTACATAGCCTTTTCGAGAAAAGGGATCTTTCAGGGACGGAAAGAGACTAATGATTCCCAGGGCATACTTCTCCTTCTGTTTACGGGAAGGAATCCTCCTTTGGAGCAAAGACAAAACAAAAACAAAATCAAAATGCCCCAGTAATGTTGCTAGCTCCACACCTAAGTTCCTTCAATGCCACACGTTTACAACACCCATTACCATACTTAACAAACCATTTTAGTTAGATTTTTTTTAAGAACAATGCGTTTCAGAAATACTTACCCATGCATTTCAGTCATATGGCTAGCCAATATGTTGACAAGCTGTCTCCGAGTGCTGTGCTGACTTGTACTCTTCCAGGACATCATCACCTCCAGGTTTCTTAAGCAGAGCACTTTCTACCATCTGCTCACACAAGAGATATAGTTAAGTGTATATTTCGGTCTTCCAGGACAAAATCATTAGAACAACAATGTATAAAATGTTTCTGTTCAGACCAAGAGGGTAATTAAAAAAGGTTTTTGGTAAAATGTAAATAAAAGGTAGAACCTATTTGATAATACAGTAGGTTGTACCAAAAGCCAAACTAAGCCAGTCTGGTTTCAACTACCGAATAACTCATTCACCATTTATACATTTCAAAAAAGTCAGATTTGTAAGAATCTCAGTATAGAAAGACACTTTTACTTCTTCTTGAGTCTTGGAAATGACAGTACCTCTTTTGCAGCCTCCGACTCAGAAACCTCTGTGGTAGACGTGTTCATGACTTCAACGCTGGACACATTGCGGCATGTGGGAGCCCCCCATTCTCTTTGACTGGAGAGGTCATTATCACTTGAAGGTGACATTGTATCCGTGAGGGAAGATGGTGTTGAATGATCTGAAGGAGAAAAAACTTTGAAAACAAGGAAATCTGCTATTGGTGGTGGTATAGTCAGTAGAGGAGATAACATGTGATATAGTGATGATTTCAAATAAAAAGAGTGAGCGTTAAAAAAATGGTTTTGCAAAACCAAATTTGCAAGTGGATGCTGCTCCTTATGCTGAAATATTGTTTCTTTGGTCTTCTATTTTGTCACAGTAGTCAGTTAGGGACATAAAAGGGTTCTAGTTCCACAAATACAATGTGTGCAGCATAAAAACCTGAAACCTACCTTCACCTGAAATGCTGCTACATACTGTCAGGCAAAAGTCAGGATTGGCCTCTATCAATTCATGAAGCATATGTTCGTCCATTGATGGCAATATGTTTGTTGAAACAACAAACTGACCTTGTTTAACACAAACATGGGACAATCAAAACCCAACCTACATTCATTTAATTTCAAACTCATTCATTTAACCAGATTGGTCCCATTGAGATCATAGATCTGTTTTTCAAGGGAGACCTGCATTGTATTAATTGTTTTGGCAAGTGGATGCTGACCTATTGGTTGCAAGCATTGTTTTTGAGTTAATCTACCTAGTAACGATCAGACAGTATAGGACATAAAGGAGTCTCATCTTTAGACGTTTGTGCAGCTGATTATGCAGATAAGCTTACCTTCACCTAAAAAGCTGTCCCGTACTGTCAGGCATAAATCGGGATTGGCCTCCACCAGTTCAAGAAGGATGTCTTCTTCCACTGCTGTGTCAGTTTCATCAAAGATTTGAAGTTCAGCCGCATCAGAAAGCCCAAACTTGCGTTTGACTATAGGAAGATTAGCATGACACCAGAGAAAAATACAAGAGGCAGGTTTTTAACTGTACATATTATGAATGACAATTTAATTAACCTAAAGTCATGATTATTATTATAATCATGCCAAATCTACACAGCATTCTAAATACTGCATCTTTAAGCCAAACTACTAAGCAAGTTAACTCAGATGAGGGAATTTGGAAACGGTTTCCGAAATAGGAAGCATATTTCGGAAATCAAAATAAACTAAAAAAGGCCTGCAGCAAAAATCATATTGTCCCCGCTGGCCAAAGCTAATAAAGTTATCAAAAATAATACCACACATCCTTTTGCTTCTGCAAAGCTGTACATTGTGTAACACAAGATGGCTACTCACCTTCATTGATGAATTCCAAATAGGTGAACCCCAGATTTAACCTGATGTACTTTTTGGTACTCTGGTATTTTACCTTCAGCAACATGATGAGTCTTCTTAACCAGTTAAGCCCGAAGGTCCCCCCAGTGGACCCCTCCCACAGTTTTTTTTTTCTCACATGTCTCAGGGCTTCTTAACATTTATGAAACTATTAATGTTTCATACCCTTTTAAAGGTAAGAAACTCCGCTAACTGACAATAAGAACAATTGTTAGCTAAAAAAAACACAAGAGTAATACCAAGCCTTTGAATTAGCATTGAGCGAAAAAATGCTAACTAATGCTAACGCTTTTTTACACACAACACACGGTAGAAATGCCCTTATTACTATCTTAACTGCACAAACAAGATATACGATTTAAAGCTGAGACTCCACAGATTCCACACATGTAATGTAATCACTGTCCGACCTCGAATTCCTGGAGCTATCAGCCAGAAAAGAGAAAGTAAACAACATCCGGTTTCAAAAATATTACAATAATTACGTCTTACCTTTTTTGATTTGTGATCAAAAGTTGTGTTCAACGGAATAAAAACGCATCTCAAGGTTAATCCAATGTCTTTGTGTTACTGATAATCAATCATCATATTTATGGCAATATACTCGGTATAAAGTATTGCCGTCCAGGCTTGCACTTTCAGATATGCTTCGTTTGCTTCTCTATTACGTCCGCTATGGTAATGTTTACGTAGATTTGGGAACTGCCCATCGATTCTATTGGTTCTGATGGTTAAGAAAAAGGTGTAAATCACACGAATCGACCAATGGGTTCCAGAGATATGGTCCTGCGCAAATTATAAAGAATGGCAGCCAACTTAAGTACATTACGCAGCCGACTTCATTTATTGTTTACAGCGTAAAGAAGCAGGAAATGCAGCAGGACCCAGAGCGCACAGAGCACAGAGCGGACAGCAGATAACGGAATTGCAGTTTTATTGCTTATAGATTATCAGAACATTTCAAAGGGGACACAGCCCCATTGGATATTAATCTATGGATTAACTACATCATCGTTTTTATCGTTTTAATGCCATTGAAGACCAGTTTAGACCAGACAACGAGGAAGGTAAGTCATTGTTAGCCTAGCGCATTAGCTCTAGCGCCATTTGTTTTGATGTACGTTTTTGTTGATAACGTCGCGAGTTTGTATCTTTCAGTGTTGGGCTGTTCAGGTGGGCACCGTTAGATTCTGTGTCTCCTTGCGATCATAAACAATGTGTTGGATGTGCAGCTAGGATAAGTAATAAGGGAGCGAGGAGTGATTTTCGGTGCTGTAATAGGTTAGCATTTTTCGCTCGGGGCTAATTCAGAGGCTCACTGTAAGAGTAAGCCTATGTTTTATTTTATTTATTTATTTATTTCTTTTCACAACAGTTGTATTTGGATGGAATGAATACCTATAGTGATAATTCAAAGTAATAAAATGATTTTTACAGTGAAAAAGTTCAAATGGAACCGATGGTTCCCAAATTACCAAGAGGTGAGTCCGCTTAGACTTTATTTTTCTAAATCTCTCTAAAAAGGTCAAATGTCACTTGTTTTGCATCAATCTTGATACAGGGTACTTATTATATGTTATACTTTGGATTCCTAAAGCTTTTAGTCTACTAACCCATCATGCAAGGGTGGTTTTCACTATAAGTAAAGGTTTTTTTTTTAGGTGGACATTAGAATTTACATGTTTTTACTATGTTCCATCTGAATTTACTTTAAAATAAAAACATCTATATTGATTCTGACACTTCTACATCCAACTCACAGATGTAACCTTGCTTTGAGAAAAATAATTATTAATTTACCCCTTTTAGAAGTGAAGATATATCATTTGTTGTGTTAGTGGCATTTTCGAGCCTGAAACCTGAAAAACAGGCTCAGGGCTTAACTGGTTAAAGAAACCACAATGGAAATAATGTTAGCAGTTAACTTTTTTTAGCTGCCACATCTAAAAATCTAAAAGATTCTGTCTGGAACAATATAGCTTTTTTTTTTTTTTTTAAATACGCAATTACTCATTTAAGTAGGATTAGCCTCATCATGCAGATTTTTTTGATCCAACTGTAAATTAATTTACTGATATAAACGTGTTAAGCCACCTCCTGTCCTCACCACGTGTCTAACTACAGCTAGCTAAGCCAGCTAACGTACGTTAGCTAAACAGCTATAGCTTGATTAGCCTCTCAAATCAGTCTTCTTCTCATTCAGAAGCAGTTTTGGCACTTAATTAAATGGGACATGTTGGTTAGCTACAGTGGCGAGCCGTGACTTTTATACCTAGGCCCTCTGACCCCCCTTCCCTCGAAAGAAAATAAGAGATATTACATCACAGCGTATACTTCAGCGGAATATCAAAACAGCGGCCCGGGGTGCAAAACGCATCAATGACAGCGACCCTCTACCACACAAAACAACATCATTTATATAAACACCTATCATGACAGGACACCCACAGCCAAGTAACAATTAAAAATGAATTAAGTCGGCACGGCGGCCCACATTGAAAATGACGTAGGCCTACCTTTGATGATCAAATCACTTAAAGGGGACCTATCATGCAAAATGCACCTTTGGACGTCTTTTATACATGAATATGTGTCCCCGGTGTTCCAGGGAACTCACCAAGTGTCAGAAAACACAACCCTCTCTATTTTCCTCCTTCGCCAAATCTCTAAAAAAGTGGCTGAAACGGATCTGAAAAAAATGGATCCAGATTTCAACACTTTCCTACGTCACAAAGAGACGTGCTCCGCTTATTGGTCAACTCTCCACCTATCAGGGGAATGAGCCACGGCCACGTGCATTGCCAAACCTCTCATTCGCATATAGGCTATCGGCAGGCTAAATCAACTCCAGTCACATCTGTGTTTTTGTCTGCTCTTGCCAGGATGTCTAAGCGAGTTAAACTTTGTGCTGTTGTTGGCTGCAAGACTCGGGACAGGGGACTGCATGCAATGCCATCAGTGGAAAAAGAAAATAATCTGTGGCTAGACTTCATTTTCAAGGGACATGTGCCAGAAGACCGGCAGATTTCTGTTTGTGTGTTCCAAACATTTGACCACGGACATGTTTATGAACTTCTCTCAAGTCCAACACGGATATGCCTCCAAGCTAATGCTAAACCCGGGATCAATACCAACCATCCGGGAGCAGGCCAGTGAGGACACATCCAATTTTGAAGCTGTAAGTTTTTATTTAGCGGTGTTTTTCCTGATAAAGCTATCTCTAGCTTGTAGTATGTAGCATGTAGCTTCGCCGTATCAATGTCGCCTCAAACCCAAATAGTAATCGGTTAGGTGTTTTTATAACATTTTATATTGTATGCTCCGCAGTCTTTGCTTTGTCTTTTATTTTAATTATCAGGCATTTGCTAACATGTTCAGACATACTGCAGTAATGGCGATCTGTGTGAAGGCTGTAAAGCCACGCCCTAGCCGATAACACAAGTATTTATTCTCCTATTTATTAGTATTTTGTATCCTATAAAATCATATTGAGTAAGTTATAATAACAAACGTAATCTTCTGTAGGTAAGTGCCGTTTTTTCCAGCGTTATATGTAAAAGCTTTTGTGATTGTAGTCTGTAAGAACGATCAGATCTGTAAGCTAAGCTACGCTACGCTAATGAGACATGCCATTTTTTCCAGCGTTATATGTAAAAGCTTTTGTATGTTTACTTGTTTACACACATGAATATAAATGGGGATGTGTTAGGATACAACACTGTGTGTATGTATGTGAGGGGACACACACACCATGAGTAAAACAGAACTAAAGCCCCGTTGGTCTGTTGTTGTTGACGAGGCCTTACCTAGCAACAGGCTAATTAGTGGCTAGCACTCATTACAGTCAGTCTCCTGAGCTCAGCCCCTCTCCAACACATCATCTGTATTGAGTCAGAAACACAGCATGCACGTTACGGTTCAAAACTAACTCAGATTGGAAAAGGCTAAGCAAAGAGCTTTGCTAAATAGAGAGGTTTAGCCCCCATCTTTTGGGATTTCAGACGATATTTATCCAAATAGTATTTTCTCATCCTGAATACTAAATTGAGATGATTTTGTTTTCTTCTTTACAGGCCAGCACCTCACATGCTACCAGCAGATTACCTGTGATGACAGATTCTGCATGTCAGACTGACCCACCCAAGTACCGTACTGTTCGTACACAGCTATCCTCGAGGACTCTTGGTTCACATCGAAGTACAGGTTAGAAGCACGTTTTTCAAATGTTCTTTGGATACATCTTGACATTCTGATGTTGTAGCCTTTAATTTGTGTGCTTCTAATTGTTGTAAAATATTTTTGTTTTATCTTTTGTTTTGTTTTTAATGTCAAATACAATTATGTTACAGCTGTCCAGGCTAAAATTCCCTGCAGAAGCGTTGGTGTCGAAACACTTCCGTTGGAAGTGCCAGTGCCCTTTTTAACATCCACCCCCTTAAAGAGACCACCAAAGAGGCCCCGTGTGGATCTTGAAGAGGAATACGAAGATCCATTTGAGGGAAGCTCTTCTTTGGTGTTTTCCGAAGGCCAGGATGCAACTTATGATCCAGCAGAATCCATAACAAATGCTACAGAAACAACAGCCATGTCGTAAGTTACTGAAATATCACTATGTGTGAGTTTGTCTATGTATTGTATTTTTTGCTGAATATAATTCAAACATTGATAATAGGGAAACACCAAAGATCTCTAAAGCAACAATCTGTGTGATGGATATTAACTTCTATTTTTTTGTTTTAGTGGTCAAGAACAAAACCCACCCCAGACGATCAACACATCCATCGTTTATGAGACCTGCCTCATGGAGCTTTTTGAATCATGTCCTGTGTGCAAGCGTGTGTGTAATATACAAACCAGAAGGATCGGTACATTCATATCAGTGCAGCAGCTGTGCCCCCATTGTCAGTTTACAAGAAACTGGAATAGCCAGCCTGTTCTTGGGAGTACTCCAGTTGGAAACCTGCAGCTATCAGTTGCAACATATGTCAACAGAGCATCTTTCTACAAACTTTCAAAGGTAAATTAACTGCAGAAGATTGTATTGCCAATGTTTGAAAATGCAAATGTTGTTGTTGAATACGATAGGACAAGGTAACAATAACAAGAGTGAGAAAATGATGACATAAAATAATGACATGTTCAGCTCTTTCCCTGTTTAAAAAAGGGCAGCTCATTTGCACTTTCCAGGTTCTCCTCATCGACTCATCAACAAATCTACAGGTGATCTTTGAGATTAAAATGTATTCTTGCGGTTTTCTTTCAACCATTAGGTCTTCAAACAATGAATATGCAGCTATGCAAATACAACACCTTCCGAAGGCATGCCAGGATGTTCATTGAGCCAGCGATTGTTTCTTACTGGCAAAAATCACAGGAAGGCATGCTACAGAAGCTCCATGCAGAGGAGAAAGTGATAGTTGGTGGTGATATGAGGGCTGACTCTCCAGGTATGTATTTTTTATATAATTCACATTTTACATTTCAGAAAGGGGTTTCACTATGTGTGATTTATTCAATTAATGGTTCCTGAAAAACATATGCTAAACACTACAAGCAAAAATACAAATTCACCATCCGCAGAGAAAAGTAATTACTGTAAAACATATTTTCACAGGCCACTATGCAAAGTTCGGAAGCTACACTATGATGGACCTGAAGAACAACAAAGTCGTTGACCTCCAGTTGGTTCAGGTAAGTGGGGTGAAATGAAATATCAATGTTTTTTTCTTTAACACTGTTTGCACGTTATATTTAAAATGTGTGTATCAATGGTTATTTGTATGTGTCATAACAGAGCAATGAGGTTGGTGGAAGCTACCACATGGAGTTAGAGGGCCTGAAAAGGAGTCTGGAGTTGTTAAAGGAACGTGGTGTGACTCTGGACTGTATTGTCACGGACAGACATCTGCAAATTCAGAAATTCCTAAGGGAAAGCAGCATCACCCAATTCTTTGATGTGTGGCACATAGAAAAAGGTATTTTTATTTATGTTAATTTCTATAATAATAATATAATAATATTTTGAGTAAACTTGTATGTATATTAACTACATGTTAAATGTATTTATTAGGGATTTCTAAGCAACTGGAGAAGGCTGCAAAAAAGAAGGACTGCGAAAAACTTCGAGGGTGGGTGAAGAGTATAAGAAACCACATATACTGGACTGCAGCAACCTCCACCACCGGGCCTGAGAGAGTGGCCAAATGGTTCCCTAAGTGCCTTCATCCACTGCGCATTGCGCAATACCAATGGATGGCTGCAGGTATGTTGTTCATAAACCATATTACATTACTCCTCTATAAATATTTGTAGGGGACAACTATTGAATACAGGATGTTGTCAGACACAATCTATAAAGCATGACAATTCAAATATGACTTTGATTTTCAAATTCTTAGGAACGCCGGCCTTTCACAAGCTGGAGACAATTCTCTCAACCAAGAGGATTTTGAAAGCTGTGGCCAAACTCAGCCCACACCACCAGACTTCATCTTTGGAGTCATTCCATGCCGTCATCCTGCGCTTTGCTCCAAAGAATGTTGTGTTTCCATTTCTTGGAATGTTGTGCAGGTAAAATAAACCATAGTTACTTACTAATTAGTGACAATTTGTACATTCTTTGCTATTATTTACTTTTTTTTCCCTCATGGCGGAAATGAAAGACTGTACCTGGCAGCCCTGCACTACAATGAAAACGCTGAGCGTGCACAAGCCACTACATCCACTGGAAACCCTCTATATAAACTGCAGTTCCCAAAGGCCAGGAAGGGAGAATGCAGAGCAAAACCAGTAAAGACTGACCCCACATTCCGTAAGTGTTTAAAATATTTATTATACAACTATTTACAAATAAAAAAATTAGAAAGAACTTTCAGTTTTTTACATGCATATCTAAACCACATTTTTTTTGTGCTTTTTTTAATATTGCACAGGCTACGTGGCCAACTTGATGGACCTCATATTCGACCAAGTCTTTGTGGACCCTGCACCATTCACACAGGAGCTTCTGAAGATACCCATCCCAGAGGACCTGTGTTCCCAATATGAGCGACCTGACAGGGAGGAGGTCATCTCCGGGTATGCTACACGGTTCAATTTGGCTGCCGTCTGAACCCAACATACACATTTCGCTGATCAGGAAACTCCCTGCGAATCCTGAGGACAACGCAGGCCGGAATCACCACTCTGATCCTGCGTCCAAGGAAGCCCCAGCACCAGCTCACAAAGCTTCTGTAGGCTAGATACCTGTGACGCCTGCAATCATTAAAAAAATATATTGTGTCATTTATACAAAATACAAGTACATTTCGTTTTTTTTTTTATGGGTTCAAAGAACCGTTGATTTTGACAATAAAGTTCCGAGTTGATATCAAATGTGTCGTGATTATTCATGTTTGGATGGGTAAAGAATATTTTGATTTCAAAAGCTTAAGGTTGTGTGTGGACTTTTTTTGTCGTACACATGGGTGTGTTATGCCATTGCTGTGTAATAATATATATATATATATAATAGTACATGTACAATGAAAGATTGCATAAAGCCATATACACCAGTATTTATTTCCATGAACAATATTAGCATTCGTTTTACAATTTCAGTCAAAACAAACAAACCACTCACTGCTCTATTTGCCTCAACTGTAGTCCACCATGTTCAGCTCTGTAAATATTAAATGCATTCTGCAGGGAGAACACATTCAGGCACACAGGCTCCAATCCAGGTTACAGAGTCCTCAAGTTCCTGAATCCGTCTTGACACCTAGTGTGATAAACATATTGAATGACATGTTAAAAATGCATTCTCTAAACAGACAACTTAGTGAAGCTATCAAAAATGTTACCTGTGGTATCGCCATGCAGCACACATTCTCCGGTTCAGAAGGCATCGTGGCGCAATTTGCACATGTACACCTGTAGAAAGAAGTCAATAACTGAGCTTTTAAAAACACATGAAACTACACACACTGCTGACAACTGAGGTGTTGTTGGAGTTATACTTTTTATCACTCTAAGTTATTGAACTTTCCAACGGTTGTTGCACGATGTTGGAAGAAAAGGGGTGTAAACTATTAATAAACGCAATGAGGCCATTGTATATATGCTGAAAATATGAATGTCTCCCTTTATAAATATATATATGTATCGCTGTTTTTGCGTTACAAGCTCTAAGTTATAAACTGTACACATAGCATTCTTGCTAATTAGCCAAAATATGAACGGAATAAGTAGCAATCATCGTAACAGAGTAAAATAAATAGGAACAACAGCTTGTCAACTAACCATTCAGAAACGTCCTGCTGCAACCGAGATCTTTACACCTCCACCAAAACCTCCACTGCTTCAGGGTCAGTCTCTGGATCAAATTGATAATACGCTTGAACACATGCATTGCTCTGAGATTACATGTTTATTCCACACTCGTAATCACAGCAAGCATGTTAACGTGACTCTCACCGGCTCATGCCCCGCTCTTCTGCAGGGGGGCGTGGTCAGCTGCTGCTCAGAATTTTCAAAGACAGGCTTGGAAAAGAGCGAAAATGAGCTATGAGGCATGGCTAAAAAATGATCTGTTTGGTATTTTGAAAAATAAAATGTATAAATATACCTTATATAGGTATGGTCATACACTATATCATTTAAATATAGCATGATAGGTCTCCTTTAAACACAAAGTCCATCCTCCTGTCCTTTTGGATGAAGCACTTGCGGGTCATTCAGCGGATCCTTTGCCACTCCAGTTTATCATTGTAGGCTAACTCAATCTTGAAAATGACTCGGTTAATAATTTCGCAACGATGTCACCACTATCACTGAAGTGAGCCATCATGAACGAACTTATGCTAATCATAAATCTATCCATCATAAATCTATCGATTAGATTTATGATTCGAAAATAATAAAAGTAGGGTAGACATGTGGATATTATCCGGCTGAACAAAACGTGCATTTATCTAACAGGTTCGTTTTCCACAGACCTTATTTCGAGCTATTTTCCAAAATCCTATGGAGAAATCCCATTGATTTCTGTCGAGGGAATCCGAGCGAAGCTTACTTCCGGGTTTTAGGATGCGTCACTGCACCACTTGCATAGACCTCACAGCGGGCGGAACTTGTCATAAAGTCCGCGAAAATAAAGCCCGCCTATTTAGAGGGAAGATATGATTGGTCAATTGTACTGTCATTTGACATTACTCTCTCGTTGAGTTACTATAGCTGGCCCTCTGTGAATGTAGAGAGGGACCAACAAGCCCTCCCGTCTTCACATAACTCGGCATTTAACCCTTCACATTCCAACAGAAACTGAACAGGCAGATTCGAAGGATTTATTTCTTTGGAAATATTATTTTAAATACAATTAAATCAAGTTATTTTGGTAAAACTAATGAAAAATGTAACAACAAAAAAATCTAAAAAATAATATTTAAAAAAAAACATTTTTTTTTTAATATTATTTTTTAGAATATCTTAGACCCTCACAGAGGGCCTAGAGGGCCCTGACGGCTCGCCACTGGTTAGCTAATTACCATAGCCAGTGAGCAAGTTAACAAGCTAGTTAAAAAACGGGGCGTTAGCATAGTGCTAGCGATAGCATCGAACTAGCGTTAGCATAGAGCTAGCTAGCAGCAAGACCATGAGTGGTAAGAACAAGAGAAGACAACGTAAAACGAATATTATTGAAAATTGTAATAACCGTTCCAACATCAGTAGCTATCTATCTTTACCTTAGTCACTTGCGCTGACTGAACTCAATGGCGTTTTTGGAAAGTTTTGACTAACACAGCTGCAACTCATCTCCACCTGATTTCCCGCTTATGGTCATGGCTGCATGCAAATTCACATGACTTTGTGCAATGTAATACTAGTGAGAGTCATACGAGCAAAAGCCTCCACACCAGCCTTGACACATTTGAGTCACACCCTACGTGACGTTTATACATACTTTTAATACAAAAATGATCAGCATAAATGATTGAATATACCTGGTCCTTACCTTTTTGAAATAATGTAGGCTCCCCTTCCAGACACAGGTTGTTCTCCGCCATGAGATGAAGAAAAAAGGCACACTAAAACCGGAAGTGTAATTAACTCCAACTAGAGTGCATGCAATCAACTCCCTTAAAGAACACCGTCCTTAGAGCTTTTTCAGCACTGCAAGTGTTAAAAGTAACTAACTCACACATTTCAAACTTCAAATCACTTTGAAATATATACTTAAAACATTATAAACTATATATTTAGCCAGAACAATATTACACACTTAGCCACCTTCACCACAACTATTATCAAACCATCTTAATCACCTCATAATTTAACCACCATACTTAAACATCATATTACTTACACACATATCACTTAATCCCCATTAGAACTCCCCTTAATTTAAATGAAACAACATCCCCTTCATTTAACCACTTTCAAAATAAAACTAAACCATTTTAAACCTTCTCATTTCGGTGCATATTTCATTTAATTTCAAACCTTTATTTAACGAGATTGGTCCCATTGAGATCATAGATCTCTTTTTCAAGGGAGACCTGCAGCATATAGGTTCCACATGAAACATAAAACAATAAAGGACATCATACATTATATTTACAGGATACATTTACATAGTTATAGACATTTACAAGTGCCCATAGTCAGGGTTGCCAACTTTGGGTACCTGGCTGGAGTGAGATTTTGATATCATGGGTTTAATTACACATAGGCGCACGAAATGACTGCTATCGTGTCAGCAGCGGGACCTTAGTATATATATAGGATATATATACAATATATACAAATACACAATATTGGACACAGACTATAAAGGGCACAAAGTTTCATTCACTAATGAAAGTCAAACACATTTTTATTGTGTGCCTGTCGCGATAAGCAATTAATTGACTTATCGTACGATAAATAAAAATGAACTTGATAAATTGCCATTTACATGAGGATGTGACTAGCAGTTTGAAAGGATGTACTTGAATTATTATTATATATTATCATTATGTCAGTGGTCTAAAATGATACAACGGTGCCGACAATATTATCGTTTATCGCAATAATTTCCGGGAAAATGTATCCAACAAAATTCATTATCGTGAGAGGCCTATACATGAAACACACAGACACAAACAAATCTACAGACTTACTCCAAACTGCCAAATATATTAATTAACACACTCTCCTTCTCATATACTCTTTGACTCTATGTTGGCCTAGTAGAACAATAAGCAGCAGACTTTTACTTTTTTATAATTTCTACTGGATCTTAGATCTGCGCATGCGCAATACGAGTATTTGTGTTGGGTAATCTATGGTAGGGCTAACCCATACAGTGATGGGGCTCAAGTCAGTATTTGCAATGTAATTACATACACGCTCCCCTTGACAGTGAAACGCCACGTGAGGTTTAGATTATTTCCCTGTCTCAATCCAAATTGAACTGTATGAAATAAAAAGGCACATTTGTCTTGTAGTAATTAAAAAGGGCGACCTGGAGCCAATCCTGCAATTTCTCCACAGGTGAAAGAGTTGACATGCTGAAAACCCAACCCCTGCAGGGGGGTCTGGGGGGATTCTCCCCCAGGAGATTTTTTGAAATACTAACATAAAATACACATTCTGGTACTCTCTTGAGAAGAAAAATAAATAAATCTATTACTACACGACATATTTAAAAAAATGAATGCCATTTTAGTTTTTTGTTACTTTGTTCTGAAAACTGAACCTGCTGCTCCTCACAGAGAGAAGAGGGAAGAGGCTGTGAATGACTTTACATTGTGGATAAGGGTGGATAGCCCCCATTGTTCTGTGTGTCAAGATGAAAGACAGCCCACACACCTATCAATCATCAAACCGTGGGGTCTTATTTCATTACGTGTTGATTTCTATCAACACGTAATGTTGTAAAGATGTAGTACTACAGTAAAAGTATTCTCCGTCAGGACTTCCTGCAACAACACCACGCCGTTATCTTGATTCTGATTGGCCAGAAGACATTATCAAAGATGTTCTATTGAGAAGACGATCACTACGTGACAAAAGTTTTCAAACCCGTTTCTAGTCTTCGGTATTTTTGTTTTTGGCGTGAGAATAGTTTGGGCAGCGTGAGAGCGTGAGATTGAGAGTGAAAGCGTGTGTCACACGCCAGATGCGTGAGAGTTGGCAACCCTGCCATAGTATCAACGAGCATTTCATTTAGCCTAGCTTTAAAAACATGCAGAGGAATGAGATTGCTCAGTTTCAATTCTTGCTGAAGATAGTTCCAAGCAAGTGGAGCTGCGCAC